ATATATTATCAAACGAAAATAGACAATAAAAAAAAACATTTGGTAAAAAAAAATTGAAACCTACTTGGATCTAATAAGGTTTTATTATTACTAGTCACATAAAAGCTAAGAATCCTATGAACATAAATTTCTTGGAACAAAAGCAAAAAGTTGACAATCTACAGATAGGGATGTGACATTTAATTGATATCGACTTTATGTTTCATAACTAGCGGAATGTTGAACTGGGCATTGCTTTATAATTTGCTATAATTAGGGTTAACTACGGAGTATATGGAAAAGGCATTTAAAGCAATTTCTTCGAGAACTAGCTAAGCCGACTTTTACACGCACACATTTGTTACCAAATACGCATAAGGTTAACTACACGCAAATATTAATTGATGTTAGCTACGCAGGCGTGTGCGTATACGCAGCTACATGCTACGATCACAGTATTGATGATTTATTATACTGTCATCGTACTTTCATTAACCTACTAGATTTCAAGTCAATCGGATCACACTGGAAGGATTGAAATATTAACACACAGTCATTATAAAAATCTTTATTCTCCCTGAAATACGATATATTTGTTCAACAATTACCTCTTTCTGAACGAATTGTACATGACTACACCTATAGCCACCAGCGTGTCAAGAAAATGAAGATACTTATTTCCGAAGGCGAAGAAGCGAATCATTTGTTTCATGAAAACTTGACCAAAAAATAACTGATTGTCAGTTCAGAAATGTTTTCACATTTAGATGTGGTTTATAATTTGTGAAGGCGGCTCTGAGTTTCATGTCATATATTACCTGATTAACCAAATGATTCATTTCTTAATAAATTGTTCGGTTATTTTTTTTCTTGTGTATATAATTTAATGTCATATCATAAAATGCCTATAGCAAAATTTTCTATATAGTATGATGTACATAATCATACTTTAAAATTGACTTTCTACTAATTCAAATTAAAGAGAAATATATAGGAATGAAACTATTTTTCCGGATTTAAATCGCGTATATTTGTTTTTTCAAAAAAATTATTTTATTATATAAAACTTAATTGTAAAACTTAATGTAGCGTAAATTGGAATGTTTTCTTTGTAAAATTAAAAATAAGGTATTTAATTAATAACTATTGTAACTATAGTGAAAAAATAGGGTGGTTTGCATCAATATTAGACATAACTGGTTAAAGACTGTACCACCTCAGTCAACCGTGACCATGGGACCTGTAAAGGGCCCGAAACGTCGGTTTGTTTGAAAAAACAAATATACGCGATTTAAATCCGGAAAAATAGTTACATTCCTATGTATAACAATCGCGAAAACCTAAGAACTCGATATAAAGAGAAATATATTTTTGAAATAGTTTTTCGGCTCTGGTGTAAAAGGATTTTACACCTTTTCTTTTTTTAGATTTTTCGAGATACCACAAGATCGCTATCCGGCGTCGAAATGGTGCTATGTTTAGTAGGTACCCAGCTTTTACTGCCTGTTGCTTCAGCCTGTTTCTCCTTTAAAAAGGATCCGGCGGGAAACTAAAAAAATCAATTCAAAAACTGCAAATGTACATTCTGCCTGTGATAATTTTAAGAACTCAAGCAGACGAAAGTGACGAATAATAAGCAAGTAAGGAGATGGGAATCATGTAGATAAGGGAAAGAAAATCTCCAATCTCATTAAGTCTTATTATATACTCCACGAGCTTACGTGCATTGTAAAATTATCGATACTGTGCCTCTTCTATCTATATTTCCTTTTTTTCCATTAATATATCGTTTTTAGATTGAAAATTTAAAAAATGCGAGTATTGGGACCAAACATTTAAGTAATCGATGTAATCAAAATTGTTAGCTTTTAAATACCTGTAAACAATTTATGTTTACACATTGGTACCGACCGCTATAATAAAACAAATGTTGAACTTAACCAAAACCGGGTTTCTAAATACAGAGTTTCTACATATCGATAATTTGATTACAACACGCGGACCCAGTACCAAGTGTAATACGACGCTAGTGCAAGCACTTCATTGAGCGTCATTCGAATTGTTCATTTGACGGCAGCGATGGCTAGCAACCAATGTATATTGTTGTTACTGTGTTGCAAGAAAATAGTTTTGTTTCGAAATTATAGTATTGTTGAAAATATTAGATAATACAGAATTTTAGTACTTACCGATGAAATGAAATCACTCCCGGAGTATTTTTTAAACTTTAGCTTCTCACGCGTCTTGATATAATGGCACAATTCGGCATATTTCTATTTTTTCCACAAAATAATCAAGTATAACATTTGAACGACGACTGACGCGCTGTTGACACTCATATCACCGTCTGGTCATAAGCTAGGTAACGCGGACCCCGCCCACTGACCAGTCTATTACTAGTATTTATGTGGTCTGTGATTCTGCCATTATAAACTGCAAAAGCACCATAACTGTTGGTAAACGGGTAAACACGGACGTTTCCTTCCACGGGCAAGTGATTTTGTAATCAGAAGATGCATAATTTATTTTAAAAACAATTATTTTGGTTTTGTATGAATTTCGAGGAAACAAATATGCAACCCAGTGCATGCCTCATGATTTGTAATACATACTTTGCTTACTCGCTCCGGTGAGACTGTGTATGTTTGTGTGTACAGTGTATAGACTCGGATTCGGAACGAATACGAATCGGATGCAGTGCGCAAGCGCGCTCAGAGACGTCATCACATTTGACTTGTTTATGCGATGGACGTAGACACAGACAAGAGCACGTCAAGCCGGATTTTTTGGTCAGGTTGTTGGTGTCTATGTAAACGCTTTCGTAATGTTCGATAAAGTATATTGGTACATAAACTGCAGCCACTCAAAATGTGGCGCCGTCGAAGGAAGGTAAAAAGCGTTGATATGCATTCGCTTGGTGATCGCGCGCGAATCGCGATGTCGAAGTGAGCAGTTAACATTTGCAAAACTACACTAAAATGTATAAAAAAAGATGAAGAAACGTAGTTACAGTAATGACTTATATCATTTACTTACATTATTTTCTTTTTTTAATTTAAGTATTTTAATCGTATTTTTTTCATATTTATTAATTTAGCAAGGCTTACCAACTAATTACATACAGATACGTTAATTATTTATAAAAACGAAACATTTAAAACTAGTACTATGCACGCTTTTAAATTAAATGCACTGCATTGCCTACATAAAGGTAATATGGTTTTGGAAGCACGAGAGTATGACAAGCAAACTTTATACATATATGACTAGATCATAAGTACCAAATTTACATTCAACAATTTGTGTACTTTCAAACAGCAAAAACAGATAAAGCTAAGCAAAACTAAGCAAACATTAGGCAAAAATTAAAAATTCAGCAAAACTGTTATCACTAAAAATATCCAATTCACAATTTTGAAAAACTTTATTGTATTTTCTCAGTCGAGTAAATTGGTTTTTCGCAGTTCAATACCAAAAGGTTTGTAATTACGCAGCCTGGCTGACATTCTAGGTATTTTCAAGTTTATTTGAGACAGAAGGAACGGACAATCTATAACGTGATTTAGTAATTTAAACAAAAAATTTAGGACCTGTTGCTCCTTCTGATATTTTAATGATAATATATTAAAATGAGTTAATCTTTGACAATATTTTTTGTTAAAACATCGCGTGCCGTGCGCGCATATATCCCTTTTGCTCTCGTGGGGACCGTTCTTAAACGAAACGAAACGACCTTCCTGCTGTGTCACAGTTGTAACTTTTTTCATTAAAAAAAAACCGACCTCAAAAATTCGTTTAATTACATGCATTTTTATAAGTTTTATTGAAATCGGTTACCGGAAAGTGCGTGAAACCGGATTCGTCCCCTAGTTTGCCACCACCCAGATTGAGTTGGAATATTCTCTTCTTTCTCAAATTTAAATGGGACCAATACTGAGGTACACAAATTCCAACAAAAACGAATCATCTGAATTCACACATGCGGGAGTGATCGCGTAACACACACACACAAAAAAATAGAGTCCAATTGAGAACGTCCTCCTTTTCTTGAAGCCGGTTATTAACGTAGGTTCTCGTCTGTTTCAGCCATGCCACACCTCCAAAGATGAAGCTACACCTTCTCCCCCTATTGGTGGTACTAGCCGTCCCTTACAGCATCCCCACGGAGTCCTGTCCCGCGGGCTGCACCTGCGATGCGGTGGCCTTCGGAAACAACCTCAAGAGCGTCGAGGCTTGGTGCTACCCCGAAGGAGCCACTCTCAAAGTGGAGCAGCGGCGGAATTGGATGGAAGTCAAGTGCAACGTAAGTGCTAAGGAAATTGACTGTTATCGTCGAGTGTCGTAATGCTATATTGCCTTGTACCTACTTTTCATAGGTATGGCGATTGAAATAACGCACACACTCATGGCCCCGCAATAGGGAAACCCAGTGTCGCGGGTGGCATGGAAATTACACCCAAATTTACGAGAGAAATAAATGTAGGACATACAAATATTCGATTCCCGGCCCGGGAATCGAATCTGAGACCTCTGCGTGGCAGTCTGGCGTGGCAAGCGTTCGGTCACAGAGATAGTTAGATTAAATAAAATAAGTTCTCTAGATACTTTCTCACAAAAAAGGCACAACTGCTGCATAAAGTACGCAAAGTTGTGCCTTTTTGCGTTACGAGGGCAGAAAACTTAAAATTAAATTAATAAAATTGAAAAAAGAAACCCGATACAAAACAGCGCACTCTAAAGAGTCAATTAAGTCTCTAACCGCAAGCAGCCGTTAGCTCCGTTCGTCGAGAGCAATTCAGGGAAATAAATATAGGCTATACAAATTCTCCTGGCCCGGGAATAGAACCTGGGACCTCCGCGTGGCAGTCCGGCTTGGTAACCGTTCGGCCACTGAGGTCAATATTATTGTAAGGACAGTATGCGATACGTGCTACTTTGTAAGCGAACACTAAATTTTTAACCGACTTCAAAAAAAAGAGGAGTTCTTAATTCGACTGTATGTTTTTTTTGTATGTATGTTACGCGATAACTTCGGTATTTGTGCACCGATTTTCATTACTTTTTTTTTGTTGGAAAGAGGGTACCTCCATAGTGGTCCCATTTAATTTTGAAGAAAATCATCCACCTCTAAGAGTGGATGTTCACGTTCACGCATAAAGATTCATTTTTATAAATAGCGCCTAAATTTTATTATAAGTATAATAGAATTTACATAAATCTTGCTTGTGTTATAGTATGTATAACATATATATGTAATTTTAAATGTAAATTTTATATGCATGTTTGAATAAGTATTACATATAGGCTATTTATACATCGACTAGATCGTGGATCTAGTCGATGTGATTGTGGAATCACCTGATGAAATGTCAAGATGTAGCCGAGGACGGTACTCGAAACAAGACCGTGTTATTACGTTGATTTACGATATCTTATGTATTTCAGGATGGCGACATATCCTGTGCCACATTGCCCCAATTTTCGTACGGCAAAAACGCTTCGATTGACCTGAAACTCACCTATTGCTCGCTCGCCGCCCTCGAGTGCCTGCCGCGAAGGTTGCAAGCCAGCAGTGTACGACAGCTGCAGCTGTACGCCACGGCGGAGACAAACGTCACGAAGGAGATGGTCAACGGGATGGATTTGGAAACGTTCTTTCTTTACGGTGACCGTGAGTACTCATCAAAGTGTATTTAAATGGAATGGAAAACGTACGGCGGCCATATATAAAAATGGAGGTATCAGAAAACTACAAATACAATTGTGTTTCGTATACGAAATTTCGTATTATAAATTTCAGAACCATAGGTGCTTTCTGGCCGCCATCTTGGCTATTTTGAAAAAAAAAAATATAGTAGATTTCAGAATCAAATGATTATCACTGATTAAACGTTTCTCATCTCAGTATGATTTAGTTTAACCGACTTCAAAAAAAGAAGTATGTTCTCAATTCGATTGTATTTCTTTTGTGTGTATGTTACGCGATTACTCCGACACATTTGTGGGCCGATTTCGATGAATCTTTTATGTTGGAAAGGGGGTACCTCACTAGTGGTCGCTTTCTGCCGCTGCCGCTGGCCAGTGAACCCGTGACCATGGAGCGTGTAACCGTTCAGAAATATCGGGAAAATAATGTATTTTTTTTATATAAAAAACCGACCGCAAAAGTTTGTGGAATTACATCTATTTGCCAAGATTTATTTAAATCGGTTAACGGAAAGTGGATGAAATCCAATTGGATTCATTTCCTAATTTGCCACCTAGTCCTCCGACTAGTGGCGACCAACTAGTTATCCGAGCGTACTCGTATAGTGAAAACCCGGCTTTAGTGGTGGAATATTTTCTTCAAATTGCGAATGAGACCACTAATGAGGTACCCTCTTGTCAACAAAAGAGAATCGTCAAAATTGGTTAAAAATACAGTCGAATTGAGAAGCTTGTTTTTTTGAATTCGATTAAAAGAAGTACTTTTGGTAGTTTCGATAACGCGACTTCACGATTCCGTGCCCGATAAAAAACTTCTTTGAAAATATTTCTAATGCTAAAAAAACGAAGTATAGATGGATAAAATATTGTGTAATAATTATGTTTATTAATAATTACAGAATCTATAATATAATTAATTATCTAAACTAATTAAGTACTGTTCAAAGAACTTGGGCCAAGAAGGCCAAGAACTGTGGAAGTTATCGAGACGTGACCGTGCAGGGAATGTGTGCTGAAATTAAATAGCGCCTTGCTGCCAATTTGTTTATTGGGATTTGTTTCACACAAATGCTCACCAAACATAGTCCTTAAGTAAATAATCTAAACTGATCACAATTATTAATATAAGTAAATCAGGAATTATATTACGCGTGATAAACGTGGCAGTCCGGCTGAGAGAGGAGGAAGTCAGCAAGAGAGTGAACGGATTAACGTTCATAAAGAATATAGATATTGAACCATTGACAATCTAAGGGGTACCATTCACTGTCTAACAAGTACGTTCAAGCTTGCAATGTATTTAAATTCCATTGTAACTTTGCTACACCTTACAGGGTATCATATGTATAAGTTTATCATCCATGTGAAATGCAAATAAATGAATAAAACCCATTTTACTCGGCCAATGCGTTAATTCCTATAGTACCGCGTGTTATAGGCTTATGTCCGGGACGATTATTTTGCAGCAGTGCTCGACTTTCGGCTCAACATAGCAACTACCTTATATGTATGGTTTTGATGTTTCTTGCAGAAGAGTCAAACCCGTTGACTTTCCCCCGCGAGGCACTTTCACAGTTCCCGAAGCTACAAATGCTGACCATCAACCAGGCCAACCTAACCATCCACGAAGGCGACCTGGACGGCTTCTCTCAGCTCCGCATGTTGGAGTTCACGTTGACTCATGTCGGGAAACTGCCACGAGACTTGTTCAGGGGATTGCGAAGTTTGGAGACATTGCTGCTCTGGGGGAATGACTTCGAGGAGTTACCGGAGGGTATTTTGGACGGTAAGTGCTTTGTTATAATTATTATTAATAATAATATGCGTTTTTGGACGTAGTTAAACAAAAAGGATCCAATGCACATCCAGTCACTTTCCGATCTTTGGCAGTTTGAAGTTTAAAAGTGTTTCTCACTCTTTTTTTATTTTCAAAACTTATAAAGCCATGTATTTATTTATTTATGTTTACATGTTGGATTTTTTTGCTGAAATACGAGGTTCCACTTTAGGTACATGTAACTCATTTTTTGATAATTTTGTGGATTGGATCCTTTTTGCTTAACTACGTCCATTTGACATCACAAGTACAGACAGTGTCGCCACGCCTAAGGTTCAATCATAATGTAAATTACATATGCGACATTCTATCTATCACAACAACCTTAGAGTATCTTTCTTCTTGTACACTTCTTCTAATTCCATTCTACTTCATAGGACTACTATAATTGTCCTAACAGGTCCTTGACCTCATATCGATCCTCCGGATCTGAACTAGTGGGATCCTCTGATCCCTATGATGGGCCTCCACACATACCCCTACAGCCCTTCCTCTGCCACCGCTTCATGCCCCCTTGTACCTTCAGTACAAGTGGCGATCTCATTCTAATTCTGTTACTGATTCGTCATACTCTATCTTCTGGCTGTCTAGTCAACAAATACTGTATCTACGTTAGTAATAAACATTGTGCAAACTTACCAACTGTATTGCCGACCAATCAGTGCACTTCCAGCAGATGCCTGATATCTCACCTTCATTTGAGATGCCTATACTGCCGTGTTAGTTCCCTACTCTTAGGTATCATAACAGACTAAATTTATTAATGCTTGATATTACAAAACTTATACTAAATCGCGACATAATTCGCGACAGACAGCAATACGTAAAAATTTCTAAAAACTATTATACTTTAACATTTAATTTGAATAAATAATAACGCACACTCTCAACATAGCCCCGCACTAGGGAAACCCTGTGTCGCGGGTGCCATGGACACACACATAGACAACCACAAATTACACCCAAACTCACGAGAGAAATAAATGTAAGCCATACAAACATTTCTCCCGGCCCGGGAATCGAACCTGGGACCTCTGCGTGGCAGTCCGGCATGGTAACCGTTCGGCCACAGAGGCAGTTAACAAAAACGTGATATCATGTCTGCAAGCCGTTTAGAACTGTTGGACCCACTGCTTGGTTCCGCTAGTGGGTCCAGAACATAGCTTGGTTGCAGTTGGTCCCACACTAGGCAGAGCCTGTCCTATGGTGACCAATTTACGATTTCAACAAATTAATTTCGACTACATTGCGTTATGATTAATAACAATTATGTATCAATTTAATCTAAGATAAATAAGAGACAAAAAGAAAAGGATTTGGAATGTGTTAAAAAGAAATAGCACGAATTAAAATAGTTTACACCAATATTCGATTATTATACAAACTGAAATACTTACTATCTTATAATTCTTATTAACTAACTTCAAAAAAAGGAGGAGGTTCTCAATCCGACTGTGTGGTTTTTTGTATGTATGTAACGCCATGACTTCGGCTTCTTGTTTTTGTGAACTGATTTTGATGAAACTTCGATTTTTGTTGGAAACAATGTACCTCAGTAGTGGTCCATTTAAATTTGAAGATAATATTCCACCTCTAAGGGTGCCAAACTAGGGGATGAATGATTTTTGAGGTCGGTGTTTTTTAGTCCAACATGATTTGTTATGTCTGAAATAAACTATGTTCTGGTCATAATCCAGAAAACGGAGATTAAAACTCGATGACGTCTCTGTTGCAGGGCTGTCCAAGCTGCGCGTGCTAAGCCTGGAGAACAACCGCCTGCGGTCCCTCGAGTTCCTCTCCCTTGCTCCGGCTCTCCCGGCTCTTACGAACATCACGGTCTACCAAAACCGACTTGAGAATCTGCATACACTGTCCCAGCACACCAACTTGACCAAGGTGCGTGTTAACGGTCCAAGTGATACGTTTTCAATTAACAAACAATGCGTACAATTTCAGATCCATAAAACAAATTTAAATAAAGAACACCACGATACTTACGTACTTACTTTCATACGAATACTGCTTTTGATAGAGTAGAGTTGCTTACATCTATTCTGTCGGATGTGAGTCATTTCATTCGTTTCAACAGATCGTAAACATTTTCACAGCTTGTTGTGAACTCGCAAGATGGCGATCGGCCCCTGCTGATATCCCCTGGGGCTCTTTCGCACCTGCCGCGTCTCGACATCGCGTCGTTCGTCGGATCGCGGATCGCCGCGATCCCTGCGGACATGTTCCGCGGATCGCACGCGATCCGGGAACTCGATTTCAGCAATAACATGATCGAGAGTTTACCGAAGGGGCTGTTCCAGGATCAGGTCAGTGCATTTAATCATTTGTTGTACAGGACACACAATTTACATTTAACCAAAGGAAAACAAAAAATTGCTACCTGAAGCAGACCAAAATACAGGAAGGACACGACTAAAATAGAATTAATATATTTTATTAACATTTAAGAAAGCCATCCGAAAAGTTTGTGGAACTACATTCCTTTGCTAAGTTATATTAGTACTCTGTGCTGAGGTTATTTTCCTCTCGCAAGTACGGACACTGATACCAGATATTGGTGATCAGTTGGCTGTACGGCGATTTTTATTCAGTCTGTTTACACAGCTCTTTGTTAGTAGAAATTAAAAGTTTAGAGCGGTTTACAGAAATGGATTTTAGGCTCTCCAAAAATTACAAACTTTGTGGGTTCCGTTTTGAAAGTAAGGCAAACATTTCCCGCTTTTGTTTCCAGCACAACCTTCGCAGCCTTTGCCTGGACAACAACCGGCTGGTCGAGCTGCAGCCCGGCGTCTTCGACGGGCTCACTTCGCTGCAGACGCTCTCTCTAAACGACAACCGACTCGAGGAGCTGCCGGTGTAAGTATTACAGTTTTTATTCATGGGACCAAATGACGGGACGAACGAGTCGTGAGACTGCTGGTAAGCGACACGATCTCACTATAGTTTTAAACATCGTTACAGGAACATTTTGAAGATTATTCATTGCATGTTAAATGAGTGTGTGACTTATTGAAGGTAGTTGTCAAGCCACTGTGCTTGTCACTGTGAGGCATATGTTGACAAGTTCCATGTGACTGTAGGTTCACCAGCACTTTTGTTTTTCGTTAAGAAAAGTTCAAAAGTTTGTAGAATTGCAGCTAATTGCCAAGTTGTATAAAGTGGTTGAAATCCAATAAACATGATTTATCTCCTTATTTGCTACCCTAAGTGTGAGGCCAGACGAACGTAATTTTGCGAGTGCGTAGTTTGAGTTGCCTACTACGTGGACGGGGGGGGGGGGGGGGGGGGGGGGGGGGGAAGGCGGTTTGCTATAAACGCTTAAAAGGTAAGGGAATAAAATACGTTCGGTTGGCGCTCCAACCGAATTTCGGTCGAGCGCAAATTGCGTAAATCAAAAAGCGCAGCTTGCAAAATTGCGCTCGTCTGGCGTTACTTTTGGAGGTGGAATTTTTGTATTTAAATGGGACCAGTACCCGAGGTACCCCTTTCTACAAAAAAATATCAAACTGGGTTAACGGATGCTGGAGTAATTACGTGATACATAGGAAAAAGCAGGTCAATGGAGAAACTTGTCCTCTTTCGAAGTCGGTCAAAGATAGGAACGCTCACGTCCCCTGGACGACCTCTTCGATGAGGGGGGCACTGCTGTGTAAGACCTGGCGCCCGGCGCCCCTTGGAGGGCGGTCGGGCGCGACGTGTGCGTGACGTGCGCGTGTCCGCAGCGGCGCGGTGTCGGCGCTGGGCGCGCTGCGGCGCCTGGCGGCCGCGCGCAACGCGCTGCGCGTCGTGGCGCCGGGCGCGCTGCCCGCGGCGCTCGCGCACCTGCAGCTGGCGCACAACCGGCTGCGCTTCGCCGCCGACCAGTGGGTGAGTGGCCGCTTCGCCACAGGCGAACGATCGGCGTTACGCGTCGCATACACTTCCTGAATCTCTATATTGTGCCAACATCGATGTCCGTTTCTTATGCATCTTCGAAACTGTACGAAGAGAAATTAATTTCTCGGTGGAAACGATTGTATTCTGGCGGAAGGCGTTCCCGTCCAATGGTGGACTATACGATTTAATCAACGTACGAGGCATCAAACGGCAACGCACGAGGGCGCGCGCGGGCTATATCCAATAATATATAGTTTCGAAATCTGATTCCGAATATCAGTAACGGCAATGTATCAACGCAGCGCGCACGCCGGCTGCGACCATGAGTATATAGTTTCCAATATCGATATATACTTTTAATACCATATTCAGAAAAAGCTATATTACCCATACCTACTTCGGAACGGGTCCAGTGTCATATCTGTCGACGACTACCCTACGTCTTGATCAATAGTAATAATCGTTCAGTGAATAACCCCGAAAGCCTTAAAACCTATACGACCGCGCATTCAACTCGACAAATTTCAGAACTTGTCCGCCATCGCTTGCGCATTGTAAGACTAATAACGTGTGCTCCCAGGACTACCAGAACTTCGCGTCGTCCTTCCCGTTCAACTACCTCGTCAACCTCGAGACCCTCTCCCTCCACCACAACCGAGTGACACGCTTGTTCGACGACGCCGGCCCGGTGCTCACCAAGCTTCACACCCTCGACTTGTCGTACAACAACATCACCGAAATCATGGTTAGTACTACAACAGGGAACGTAGTCTGGGGCTTGCGTAGAGGTACTTTTAAGCATAAAATTGGGATTTTTCCGTGAATGAATATTTATTTCATCTTTACTGATCGAAGCCTCGTCTAGAATTACCAAGATGTCTGTTCAACATCCACACTCTATTATTTAAACAATTCTAAATACAAACCTAAGCTGCTTGTATTACATCCCTCTTCCTCACAACTGAAGGGAGGAACATATAGCTAGTGCCCTACCTATGATAGGCAACTTACATATGTGATCAGCCTTTACCATAGGCTAGCCACACACTGCTCGGAAGCCATCACCTTATCAACGAACAAAACCACCGAGGAGGCTGTGGCTTTAATCTGCCAAAAACCTATCTAAAAGGACAGACCATAACAACATCCTAATCAAACAATTCCAAATATAATTACTCATTAGCTATCGTAGCTACTCAGGTCTACTATCTAAACCCTAACTCTTTATTTCGGTCAAAGTCCTAGCTTGGCTGAATGCTACTAAAAATCTTTAAACATCAACAAACAATCTTCAACGTGCACGCTGCTACGACGACGACACAGGCTTGAGCACCCATCGGGCGACCACTGGGGAACATCAATATTGATCTCTCAGCTGCCTCAGTCCTCGTCCTGCAGCTATCCACGTTCCATCAGATTTTCCTACTTTCTTAGAACAATTCAAAAAACACACCAATTATCCTAACGACATAACTATGATATGGTGATATAGCACATTTCAAGATTCATAAAAATTAAACAAATATATTTTCCCTTGATTGCAGATAGTTCTTGTTCATCTGGATAAATGACCAACAACTATACACATAAGCCTAGGTCAATATATTCATAAAATCATAAATAAAATATGGTGACATATCCATCCAAGTTAGTGAGTGATCCATCTTATAACAGGGAACGTAATCTGGGGCTTGCGCAGAGGTACTTTTAAACATAAAACTGGGATATTTCCGTAAATGAATATTTATTTCATCTTTACTGGTCGAAGCCTCGTCTAGAACTACCAAGAGGTCCGTTAGACATCCACACTCTTATTATTTAAACAATTCTAAATATAAACCTAAGCTGCCTGTACTACAGTACCGACCCACTAGTAACTACCTCGGTTACCCGGTGAACATTCGAGCCGTTTGGTGAACAATCAGAATTAAATTTGTTCTGGCTTTAACTGAACCATTTTCGTCATTTTAAGAATTTATTGCACGTAATGAATACATAACTATTTATAACAATAATCTCTGTACAGAGTACTAAAAAAACCGACCTTAAAAGTACGTGGAATTATTACAAATTACCAAGTTTTATTAAAATCGGTCACCGAAAAGTGCGCAAACCCGGATTCATCCCCTAGTTCGCCACTATATAGGCCTTGACACTGGAGATAATAAAAATCGGTTCTCGCTACTCAAAGTATATTGAGAGAGAAAAATGCCTTGAATTGGAGAATAGCAAAATCATATTATATAATCATATTATATTATATTATATATATAATAAAAAAATACACTATTCAGCTCAAAACAACCAAAGTAATTAAAACAATATCAAAATAATACACGCTTTGAAGTTACTGCCAGTCATTTCTTGACTGGACGAGTCAATCGATTTTGTATTTCGACGTGTCGCGTTATTATTATTATTATTAGGCAATTATTATTTTGTAATGTTTATAACCTATCATTTTAAGCAGCGAGCTAAAGTTTCTGGAGTACAGTTGTAAGAATTAAAGAAGGAAATGCTGATTTCCCATTAATCAAGCCTTTCGCTGTTTCTTCTCGTTGCAGGGGAATCAAGTGAACTTCTTGAGCAACAACATCACGATCGATTTAAGACACAACCAGATCTCGTTCCTGTGGTTGGATGACGCGCCCTTGGAGCTGAACCCCGACCCCGAAGGCGACCGGGTCATGTTGCTTGACGACAACCCTCTGGTCTGCGACTGTCAGCTGTACAACCTGGCCAAGCGACTTCGCGGCAAGCGCAGCGGCGCAACGGAGCCCGTCTTCGACGTCGGCCGCGCTCGGTGCGCCGACCCGAAGCCAGTCAAAGGAAAGCTGGTTAAAACCCTCCAGTTAAGCGACTTCACGTGCCAAATACCGGAAAAGTACAATTGCACAAGTGGTTGCATTTGCCGTTATCGGCCGCATACTAAAGCTATAGAGCTGAATTGTCTCTCAGAACCGAATGTGTATCCTTCCAATATAGATTTGAACGCAACTTTTGATTTGCAACTGCGGGGCGCGCCCGCGTCTCTCGCGTTGAACATGACGCAGGTGAAGACGCTGAACCTTTCTGGTCTCGGAATGAAGACAATACCGACTGGCGATGTACCGAAGACTGTGGAGGAGCTGGATCTGTCCAACAACAGTTTGAGCAGGATACCTATGGAATTACTCGAGAGGAATATAACGTTGAGACTCGCAGGAAACCAATTCAGCTGCGATTGTTGGTACAAAAATGAAATAAGTTTAGCGCAGCGATGGCATCGCAAAGTGTTAGATTTCGAAAGAGTGCTATGTTCGGACGGCGTGCCGTTGAAGAAGCTGAACCCGGCTCAGTTGTGCAGCGCGTGGCTTGCGGCCGGTGTTGGAGGAACGCTGGCGTTGTTCGGACTGCTCGTCGCCGTGGTCGTTTCTCTGCTGTACATCTACTCGCTCGAAGTCAGGGTTTGGCTGCACTCAAAAGGTTGCTGGACTGTCCCCGAAGAAGAAATTGACAAGAACAAGAAGTACGATGCTTTTGTTTCCTTCTGCCATAAAGACGAACCGTTCGTCACAGAGCATCTCTTGCCCGGTTTGGAGACGGGACCCGATGCGTACAACATCTGTGTTCACTACCGGGATTGGATTCCAGGAGAGTGGATCCCGGCCCAAATAGCGACGTCGGTTGACGCGTCGAGGAGATCTATTATTGTTGTTTCCAAGAATTTCTTGGATTCTTTGTGGGGGAGACTGGAGTTCCGCGCGGCGAATATGCACGCTGTGCAGGAGAGGAAAACGCGTGTCATTGTCGTTTTATTAGAAGATATTTCCAGTCACAAAGAGCTGGATCCAGAGTTGAAGGCGTATTTATCGACAAATACGTATCTCAAATGGGGCGATCCGTGGTTCTGGGACAGGTTACGATACGCCATGCCGCATAAAGGCGCTCTTAAAGACAAGCGATCGAGAGAAGCCGAAGCTAAAGCTCGGAAAACAGGAGAGAAACTGGTCAGGCAATTAGCCGGTGCTATTGACACGCAGCTTAGGCCCGACGGCAAAATCATCAACGCCGCCAAAGACAACGCCAAAGGGGACGTTGCCGAGCCCAAAGCGAACGGACTTAACAAAATATTAGCAGTCCCCAAAATAGACGTAGTCGTGCCGAGAAGTAGTGAAGAGGCTCGAAGCCCCGTCGAGATGGTCCTCCCGAAACGTCAGCAGTTCGACATACCCAAACTTCCGGCAGATATTGTCTTACAGCTGGATCGTGACGACTACGACCCGACTCCTACACAACACGACAACGGGCCAAGAAACCTTGAAGATGTTATACCGAGAGGGCGCAAAATGGCGTCTTAACATGGTAAAGGACAACAAATTTTTGAAATTGCTGGTATCAGAATGATATTCCTTAGTCGCAGGAACGTAATGAGAAATCCAGTGTCGGCTTACAGTTTCTTCGTTGGTACTGTATCTAATAATAAGTCCTGGATTGTTTGAAAAATTGTTTTAATAATGTGAAAACTTAAAATGATATGAACATTAGTCGACATTTGCGCCTGCTTACATCATGGAACTCCTTGATATTAATTTGAATCTCTTGAAACATACCTGCCAATATGTAGGAGCTTAGGATAATTTATAGAATGTACAGGACGATCAGTGTCAAAATGATCTAGCGAACGCTCAAACATTATTGCTATTAAGCGTGAAACACACAGAGAGCGGCGCCCGTCTCGCGCCCGCGCCCGTCCCGCGCCCGGCCCGCACCCGCTCTCTATGCGTTTCGCGCTTTAATGCCTGAACATTTGATAAAAAAACATAATTTACTGAATATGAAATAGTGTATGTACTGGAACTTTTGTTGGCACGCAATATTATTGATCGTTGTTTTTAATGTTACTCATTCGGAAGGCATCACTTTGGGCGGGTAAAAACTGATTTTTTGAAACCATCGCAAAGAGCGGCCTTTGGCTGTGTTTCTGCGTGGCCTTCTGTGGCATCGTAGCGCCTAAACGGGTGAACCGAGTTTTTATTTAAAGCCTTTTATTTAAAGGTTTATCAGGACCGTTCTTGGCTATGTTTGATAAACATCAGTTTAACTGTTCAAAAGACTATTATAGTCTTTCTTGAAGACGGAGTAAAATGACATTTGAAGGGTTGCCATTTTTCATAAAATTTTAAATAGTTGTCGATAGATTGTGAAAGAGAAGAAAACTGAATGAATTGTGAATGTTACGACGTTCTTATGACTACTAATTGCGTTATTGCCTTCTTTATTCTCATTTTGACTAGGCAGGTTGGCCTTGGTAGTATCGAGACCAATTTTTTATTCATAAACATTTTAACAAGAATAGCTAGATTTTAAAGATTATCTTTAAATCTGTATTTTCCATAAACTTTGATCTAAATACAGAGTATGTATGTATGAACTTACAAACATTCACAATTCAATTGAACTTGTGCTCAGTAATTCGATGAATAAATGGTGTGTGAAAAGTGCGGCTATTTATTCCACAATGGTGATCAACATTCAGTCGATAGTCGATAGAATATTTATCGACTATCGACTCTCTCTAGCTGCTTGCACGCGGGCAACACTTTTGCGCAATGGATAGTCATTTTACTCCATCTTCAAAACAGACAAACAATAGTTATATTCCCACTTAATGTAATTACTTTATTTCCAATCCGATGACATTACAATAATAGGGTAATCTCGAACTGATGCTGCAACCAAGGCAGTTTGCAGACTACCCAACTCCTCAATTATTTACAGTAAAAAAACCGACCTCAAAGAGTTTGTGGAATTACTTCAGTTTGAAATCGATTAACGGAAAGTGGGTGAAATCTAACAAACCGGATTCGTCTCCTAATTTGCCAACCTTAGAAATGTAATATTTTCTTGGATTTGAATGGGACATAATAACCACTGAGATATCCCTTTTCAATAAAAAAAAAGAATCATCGAAATCGGTTCACAAATGTCGAAGTAATCGCATTACATGCAAATTAGTTGAAATGAGAAACTCCTTTTTTAAAGTCGGTAAAGAACTATTGTGTTTGGGTTTATCACATTGGTCTTGACGAAGACGGTGACTTTATTATAGACTTTTTGGAGTACATTGTTTCGTATGGAGGTTTTTAACTTTAATGTAAGATCTAAGTTAGCGTAAATCCCATATTTTTAGAAGATATTTTTTTTGTTTTATGCTGCAAGCAATGAGCCATTGAAATTTATTAAATTGCAGTATACTGCAGAGCGAATCTCAGCCGCAGCCTTGGCAGCAATAAGTGTTCGGCAATTATTGTTATTAGAATAGTTTATTAGCTAAACATAATGATAATATGCAGTTTTTGATACATTTTCACTTTTATGTTTTGTATTGTCACATTATATCGTATTGTTAGCAGAATTGTAACCTGTATCTAGTCAACACGAGACGTTACAATATTATAGTTCTATTGATTGAACATCTGTTCCCAATAAATTGATATTCTGTGTTTAATATTTTCATAATTTTATTTTACACACACACACACACACACACACACACACACACACACACACACACACACACACACACACACACACACACACACACACACACACACACACACACACACAC